AATAAAAAATACGCATTTAGCATTATTAGTAGATATCTTGAAAGTAACATTAGAAAATGTAGAAATGTTTTGTTATTCCAAGGAAAGCATAGAAGAGTATTACAGACAAATTATTCTTGGTATGTTTATTAGAAAATAAATCGGCAAATAAGAAATAGAAGAGTATGTAAGTGCTGAATTCAATGACTCTTATAGTTAATCAACTCCCACAGATTCAGTTCTCAAGTGTTCCATTGTTTTATTCTTTATGAATATAAAATTCTTCTATGTAGTAATAAGAAAGCATTATCGTAGTTATGAACATTATAATATCTAACTTAATGTATGAGACAAACAATTTAACCTTAATTTTGTTTGTTCTGCATACGATTGTAAGAACATTGTAAAGAGCGAATTTTGATATTTAGAAGATAGTCTATGATCTCTACTACAAACTTTGTTTACAATTTATCGTAGTCGTACTAATTAGATTTACGCTATACACTAATATGTAGATAATCAAAAAATTATTTTCACAAAAAGAAAATATACATGAAGTTTCGACTGGTCTTATAACATAAGAAAGTTCGCAATAGGCAATCTAATTCTATAGATTGACAACCTATTACAAATATTAACAGCTATCTTTTATCTGATATGTTTGACAAAATATTAATCATCTTGCTGATCTAGACTGAAAATATTCGAATTATATTTTGAATATGCAATAGAAAGTTAGAATAATTTTCTATAAAACCATGTTTACATGTTGTTATTAAAAAATCAGCAGATCAAATTTCTAATAATTATTTACGATGACAAATATTATCATCGAGAAATTAATAATTTCAACCTTTGAAAACATTTTATTAATCGTCATCACGTAAAAAACTAAATGTTCTTTTTTTTAAAGTAAGATTAATAATAGGGAGGTGCGGTTTCAATTTACTAATCACTGAAACAGTGTAGTTAGTGTACACTAAGCGTAGCGTTCACCGAAACACACTGCTAGAAAAAGGACATATTTTAATAGAGTTGGTGTTTCAATATTACAGCGAACACGAATGCGATGTAATCAGTACCACAGTGGACTCTAGACTCACTGCAATTATTTTAGTATTTACACCAACATCGCACATTTCCAATCGATAGACGTTTCAATGAATTATCGGCCCATAATTGAATTTCAAATTTTCTCTTATCAGAGAAAACATGTGGTAAAACATATTTTATAGAACTTTATGGATAGGTTTAGAAATACATTAGATATAAAAGTATTTTATTTTATTGAAAAAATTTTTTTTAGAAGAAATTATCGATAGTCTTTTACAGAAAAAAGACCAACATCGGTTCTCTATAACGCTTCTTTATGAGAATGCAAACGACAGATAATTCATGGGAAATTTTCGTTATATACATCATAAGTATTCTTTTAATAATCAAATATTTTATATGATAAAAAAAAAAAACTAAGACCTAGTTAGATTATATCATGTTATAATTATAGTACCCAATGTAAGCCAATCATTCATAATAGATCGTAGAACAAATGAGCTAGTATAATAGTCTTCAAAGCAAAAGAAAACAAAACAAATATTCGTTATTTAGAAAAATTAATGTGTAGGATAGACTATAAATAGCAATCTGAGAAAATAACTTGAATATTTCTATACTATGTCAATGAAATGAATTGATTTTTTCGTTAATGACTAGAGGCATGTTATAAGTTTGTATTCATAACACTAACATCAAATAATGTTGTTTTTACCAAACATCATTTAGCTTCAAGAAAGATTTCTAGAATTTTCAAAGGATTTTGATATTCACTAACTTAGCAAATGTGAATAAGACATTCTAAACTGTCTGGTTTTATCTGAAATCAATCTTACTAGAAATATTGTTTATGCTTGAGATAAACTATCTTAAATGCATTAAAACTTAGTATCCAATAACAAACTCTAGAACATATTGAACATGAGATATTTTTTGATATCCGTAAGCAACTACAGTTCTTGAAGCTAATGCTTGTAATTCTAGAGAGTATTATTTTTTTGATGATACTTTTATGAAAAGAAACTTAAAGCACTCCTATTCCACTAATAACAAAGTCAACCTATTGAATTTACCTAAAGTAGAGATATTAATATTTTATATGGTCTTATTATTTAGAATCAATTCTCTGTGTCATTTTGAATAGGCCAATCAATAATTCATTGACAGAAGAAAATAACATAATATTATTAATATATGAATATTGTTTTTTTTTTCTCTATTCATCATTATATTGTCTGTCATATTTAATTCATAATGAATAATGCGAAGTATCAGTTTAAATAATATCTAATATCTCGTATGTTACAAAGCGAAAATGAAACAGTATATGATATATTTTACTAAATTAAAATAATACCTTTTGATCTATACCAATTGATCTACATTGTTATAGTATAAAATACTTTCATAGTAATCTTGAATATGTGATTTTCTTCTTATCCACTAGTATAATGAAGAGTTTATTTTAGAGGAAGAAAAATGAAGATCTATTCTTTTTTTTTTTATCTTTCTCTTTATTATCAATAAATCAAGGAGAATTACATTGTTTAAATTTTTGTTGCATTGTCTATACAATTAATATAATAATCAGTAAATTGATTTAATTTAAGAATAATAGACATTTTCTTGAAGAAAATTAAATAAAATTAAAGCAAAAAGCACGTTAAAAAGAAATACAATTTATTCATCTAGATCAGTACTTATAATGGAGATTATTGTATGATCAACTTTAATAAATACATAGGAATATTTATTTTTAGATATATATGTATTCTATATTCGTATTGTCAAGAGACTTGCTTGGCAGTTGTATTGATGAAATTTAGTCATTCGAGCTGTCATAATTATTACATATAGTCAAATACATTGTTTTTCTTTCATCAGTATTGTATCAATTATTATCCCAAGAGATTTAAAAAAATATAACAAGTGAGGTATAAGTTTTTTTTTCTTATGTTTAGTATTTATATACAACTATGATGATGTAAGAGAAATAAAGAACAGTTTCTAGTGTCTTTAGAAACTCATAAAATATATGAAGATAATTATAAATGTTTATTGAGTAAGAAGATAAAAGGCACGCATATTGATTCGTTATGTTTTATATTGATGCTATCCTCGCAGCTGGATTCCTAATATCAGATGCCATGAATAATTCCGAAGATAAGAAACACTCTGAACTTTTTACAATTGTGACTTTATTTTCTTTAAATTTCCGGGATGTCCTTGATGTTTGATAAACAAAGACGATTAATATGACATGAAAAACACTTTGAACAATTTCATTAAATCAAGTTCCGGCTTTTTTTTCCTTTTTCCTTTCGAACATCAACTTCAAACTAATGATGATTGAATATATCCTAGATTGAAAAACATAATTAGAGACAGATAAAAAAACAAACTATACGTGAGGCCGTAAGAAAAATAAACAAGTGTAATCAGTAAATGTACAAACCAGTGTTGACACCATTTTGTGGGCGTTATGTGTCTCCTCAGCTAGGAAACATGGCTTCGATACAAGGCATTTACTTGTCAATACTATTCCTTAGTCTTTATCCATTTCTATCAACCGTATGTCATTCTATTGATATGTAGGAGCTTAAGTATTGCCAGATGAAACAGAAAAATTGCTTTAACATCGAGAATTTGCTTTTTTTCTGAAAGAAAAATATATTCTGACAACGTGTTTTAACTGTCAATTGACAATCCACCAAACTCTTAATAGATTGCGATTCTTTTTTGTATCTTGAATTATATGATACAAGCTGACAACTCTTTTCGTCTTTTTCTTTTTTTTTTTATCTCGAGCCGTGTAATCATGCGTCATTGTACTACTTATAGAAATTATTCTTGAGAAAAACATTTTTTATATATTAATTTCACAATAACAGTTAATAAACAGATATAGGTCTTGAACAATGTATATTTATTGAAAAAAGTTATCAATGATATGCTTTATTTCCAGCTGTAAATTTTAGAAATATGGTTATCCATACTAGTTTGTTACTACTGTCTTCTTATTAAGTAGATGGATAATGCCTTGTTTTTGTTATTATCTTTTTTATTCACAGAAAAACACAAATCATTTCTAGCATGCTTTCAACTATGATTACGATAAAGAAAAAAAGAAAAGTTACATTATAACTTGAATAAGAAATATTTTTATTCAATAAGATTTTTGTTTTATTTTTAATATTATCCGTCGATATCACATTTGTCAAAGAAGATAAATGTCATCTTTTTGATATATAATAATACAGATCCATCAAATTTTTGTTGCATCTATTGAAACGATGCGTCAAATTTTTCATGTTTGATTCATTATCTTGAGTATATTTTGATTAAGGTCTCCTTCCGATCTGTTTTTATTCTTGGTGGCTTGAGTATTTCCATTCGTTGATATTAGATGGATGCCTGCATATGATCGTCCGATCATAATATTCAAGAGAGAGAGAATGATCATGTTTTTTTTTATTGTAAGATTTCCTGAAGATCTTAGTTACAAAATAAGAGCAAAGAAGAAAAACAAAGAAAAAAAACAAGATAAGAAAGCTTTTTTTTCTAACTAAATCCGTTTTGTTTTTGACCTATGAGAACAAGAAGAATTCAACTCTAGATAGTAACTATCTTCAGCATATATCCCCAAATAATAAGACCTTTTTTTCTGGATAGTTATTTCTCTTTTTTTTTCTTCTTTTTTTCTTTGCACCATTTCACTTACATTGTTGCTGTCAATCAGGAAAAAAATTTCTTGACACACTGTTTCATATAATAGTAGATACTTCATAGGTCGTTTTCCTTGCATGTTGGTTAGAAAAAAGTCATGCTGTTCATCATGTTAGATTAGCATGCTAATTCACAGTAGTAATACTCATTTATTATTATCAAAAATATAATATCCAAGAGTCGACAAGTAAAAGAGTTATAAGGCGACGACAGATCGCTGTTTTGCTTTATATAAGATATAAATGTCGAGAGGTAAAACATGTTTTTTTTTCTAGAATATATAATCTGTATATGACGTAGTTCGAGTTGATATTAAACATATAATTAATAATCATATTTATGTTTCAACTATGAACAATCTTACAACATTTATTGATAATAATAACAACATTAGCGAGCATGAGTATCATGATGGTCCATCATTACATACACGATTTATTTTCGTTAGTGCTTGGATTTTGATTGCTTTTGCTGGCATTATAGGTAAGAAGAGCTTTTCTTGTTTTGAATTTAATATATTTATTTATTTTTTGTATATTTCATAAGGTAATAGCCTAGTGATATTTGTAGCAATTCGATTTGAAAAATTGAGCAATGTTACAAATTGTTTCATTGTTAATTGTAAGTTATAACACAATTGATTCTGATTGAGTGTATGATGAATGTTTTATTGTTATATTTCTACTTCTAGTGGCTATTACTGATATCGTTTTTCTAGCATTCTGTATGCCATTTCTAGTCGTTCAATATACACTTGACCATTGGTAAACGAATGAATTTTAAAAAAAAAGAAACTTATGTGTTTAATTAATTTTCTATTAGGTATTTTGATCAAATATTTTGTAAACTTCTTCATTTTACTTCATTTCTCAGTGTTCTTGTTACTGTTCTTACATTGGTTATAATGACTATTGATCGATATATTTATATTGTACATCCATTTGAAAATGTAAAATGGCGAAAACCAAAAACAGTCTTTTTACTTAGTTTAATTATATGGTTGCGTGAGTAAAACATTTCCTTTTTTTCCACATATAATACTATTTTATCAGATAATTATTCATTGTTTCGGTGACATATATTCTTGCTTGAACACTGGAAAAATTGCATTCTTAATTTTTCTTTTAGTTTCATGCACATTTGCTTCACCATTCTATTTTAATTATGGTGTTACAAATGAAACTTACAAACAATGTGAATTATTAACAGATGAAAATGTACAAAAGCAATTGCGAATATATACTGTTACACTTTATTACTTTATTCCATTAACGATTATTCTTATTTGTTACGCTAGATTACTTTATTATGTTTATTCAAAAGAAAATAAATGTAAACCAAAAACGGTATAAATAAAATTTCTTCGTTTTTTAAATAAGCTCATTTTGTTTTCTTTTTTTCTAATAGAAATCTAATCCCGTTAAATGGTCAAAACGACGTCGTGCTGTAACAAAAATGGTAGCCATTGTTACTCTTGTATTTTCACTTTGTTGGTTACCTCTTACATTATATATACTGTCAGCAAATTTCTTAATGCATAGAACAGCTGTTTTATATTATTTTAAAATGATAGCAAATTCATTGGCTTATTTAAATTCAGCTGTTAATCCAATAATATATGCATTTTTAAATCGAAGTTTTCGAAATAATTGCGGAAGTATTCTTTCAAAACCTACATGTTTATCATTTTGTCCTAAGGATGGCGATAAACAACAACCACCACAAGAAGAATTATCAAAACAATTGAATTGTAATCCTCAAGCGAAAAATCGTTATTCGAATATAGAAAAAAATATTATAATAGATAACAATATGCAACTATTATCAAACAATATAGTAGCTGATGACTTTTCAGATGCTGAATATGAAGAACAAGATCTCGATTGTTTATCTCATGTGATTATCAATAAAATGGATTATAACAATGATTATGCTAGAGAACATAATGGAAATTTTTTAATTACTACTACAACTGCCAATAACCGACACGTTACAACATCTCTGTAACAGAAAAGTCACCCTAATATTGCTGCACAATTAAGCTTTTTTGTATACATATATTTAGAATTGTTAATAATGTCTTTATTAAATGTCCTAAGAAATTATCATCTATTGTTTTGAAAAAGAATTTCTTCATAAGAACATATGCAAATCTATAAAACAGTATCAATGAACTTCTTTAAAAAAATATTCTTCATAGAAATTAAAAGAAGTTTAAAAGGTTTTAAATATTAAACATCATCAAATTAATGTGTAAATAGATAACCAACTCATTGCTTTTTCATAAGAATATTCAAAATCGAAATTTGAACAAAATAAATTGTTCAAGGAAATATTTCAGTATAATCTGAGAAAATAAATATTATAACTTTTTATAATTCACATTTCGTTTGAGAAGCTTATATAATAATTGTCAGACATTTTAGAAAGAATGGAAACATTGAAGATGTCAACGCGTTCCATTATTACTTTTCTTGACTAAATCCATTGAATAATATATCAATAAAAAGTGTCAATGAATATTCAGATTTAGCATATGAGATAGTAATTTCTAGCAGATTTCAATAACTACTGAGAAATAAGTAAGAAATTCTAGGAAAACTATATAGCAAATTTCATTATTTGTCAGTTTTGAACACCACTGACGTTACTAAATACTAATAATAAATATGTCAAACTATTTGATGAGAAGTATGGAGCTGACTGCTACTCCTAAGTCACATGAGTTTTTCAAAATTACTGGAAATTTTTCATAGTTTTGAAGGTGGACTTTTATAATTCTATAGACTTATAATTTCATTTATCCATATCAATGTGGAAATCGTATTCGGAATTCGCGTAGTTTTCTTGGAGTTTCTTTTTTATAAATCAATAATAACTGAAATTTCTTTTCTTGGAAATTTGAAAATTGATGCAATTGATTATTTCATTTACCAAGATATGCATCCAATGATACTGGTAGACACTATTATTAGCATATTTACTGTATTTATCAATCACTTTTATCTTTCAACAAATATTGAAATGACGAAAATTTTGGCATTGATCATTTGATAACTCTTTTAAAAAGCTATAAAACCATTCATTTTCCAAGTCAAAAAACATGCGCCAGTTTGAAAAATTTCAAAATTGATTATTCTTCCAGCTCAATTTTATATCTTTTTGAACAATATTTAGAAGATATTGATTAGAAAATCTTCAACTTGAACCAAATCTAATATGATATTCGAAATCAGCATAAAAAACTAAGTTGATTTCAGCGTGAAACGAAGAATTTCTGGTACTTTTTTTCTCTCTAAAAATTTAGCCTTGGCCTCCTGCGATACCAGATGAGACACAAATGCATCAAAACATCATTTACAGATTATAAAGAAATATTGAAAGTTTTTCAAAGTCATTGAATGAAAAAAATGGTAGATATGTATAAATCAAAAGCAAAATTCTAATGAGTTCACTTTTTATCTGATCTGCGAGAGGAATCAGAAATATAGTTTACAATGAACAAAGACGTTCTAGAAATTCTCTAAATCGAACTCAGATCAACTCAGTTTTTTGTGCCAATATCGAATATTATATTACAAAAGTATATTTTAGAAGTTTTCAAACGTACGAATGTTTTTTTGGACTTGGAAAATATATCATTTGTGGCTTTTAAAAGGCTACAATACGAACAAGAACAATGTCAGAATTTCGAACATTTCAATTTTTAAATTAAAATATTTACTGAAACATAAAAGTGCGTGAAGCATACAGTAAATATTCTAATAGTGTTAATCAGTACCTCCGGCCTGTATCTCGATAAATTAAACAAACAATTGGTGATTTATATTCGATATTGAAGAAACATCAGAGAGCTATCAAAATCATAACTTTATTAGTATTTTGTCATGTCTGGTTTATTCTTAAAGTGAATCCACCATAATCGGATGCTCTGTTAGAATAATAACCAAAAATGCATTAATATTTCCATAGATTTAAGGTTTTAAAATTCAATCAGAGCATTATGAAACTAGTACCAAAAATGTTATTCTCAGCATGGCCTTTCCGTTCATATATGATTCAATAGAGTTAGTCTGGAAAAGTATTAGTAGGTCGATTTGACCTTTTATGTGTACCTATGCTTTGATAGTCTTTTCTATAGAGAAACAAAACTTATACTTACATAAATGTGTATTGAATACACTACTATTTGACAATTGTAATAGGAAATATTAAGCTTGTCTTTATTACTAGTTCTCTTATAAATAGAGATGTACAGCATAATTATCTGCAAGTCTTACTTATTATCTATGAAGTTTCTCTTGATCATGATCCTACTCTATCTTGCATAGATGTAATTATAACTTGCAAACAATGTTTATTATGCAGTACAGTATAATTTGTAATAGATTTAGAACAAGATGTGCACATTTCGTTATAAGATTCTTTATTTAATAAATAAGTAAGATAAAATTAAATTGTTTTTTTTTTGAGTATATTCAAGTCTAGATAGATTGTTCGCAATACGAAAAACTCGTTACGGATATATGATGACTTATTCATACGAATAGTTATTATTTACTGCTAATATCAAGATTACAAAAATAATAGCTACCTAGTTCTGAATTGTTTCTTTTTTGCTGAATTAGTATTTTGTTGAATTTGAAACAGCTTTGGATAGTATGTATACGAAGACAATCGTGTAATTTTCCATGGATTGATGCATCAAGCAATATTATTATAAGTAATTATCAGCGATGAATGATTAGGTAAAAGAAAAATCTGTTGAATTACATGTTTCCCAATATTATGATAATAACCTAAAACAGTTTCCTCTCGGTCGATTTACTTCATCAATATTATTCTAAGTAATTACTATTTGTAAATTATCAAATGGATAAAATTTTCATCGCATATCAAATATGTTATCGTAAAGTAACCATGTAGTTGAATGATTATCTGCTAACTGATATGTTGAAATAATATTTTTTTTGATAGTAAAAAGATCTAGATGGTTACATTGATGTGATTTTTCTTGAATTATAGAATTTGTTTTTAGTACAAGAGTAGAGAGTTGAAAAAAACTTCATTGGAGTAATATACTATTCCAAATTTACTGTTAATAGTAGCTAATAATGGTTGATTGCATGACGGAGGTTTCTCTTGACTTTTTAAAAATGTTTTTCGATAATAAAAAGTGAAGTTGAATAATTATTCATTGAATCATGTACCAGTTCGATAATATTATAGGCAATAGATGACGTATCAAATCTTAATTGGCTTAGAAGTTTTTAATTTTTTTTTCAAAGAATTTATAACTTCTCTTCACAACGTCCCTTCAAACTAATTTTTTTGTTTTGGGGATATAGTAACTGAGGTATGATCCTCATTACGTTTTTCTTAATACATTCGAACTATGTTTGTGATTGAATTTAGGAATTGTTGTTAAATCTATTCGTCAAACTATTTCGAGCTCCTAATTTGATCTCTTAATGCAAAATACATTAAGTTTCCATCAATGATCGAAACAAAAGATGTTCGTGCTATTCAGAGTTGATCCTGTTACAAAACTACTCATACTATGTACATAGATAGTCTCTGATCTGTACTATAACTTTTGCACTATTACCAACTACGAGTGATGTACTTTGAGTAGCGCAAACATCTTTTGTTTTGATTATTCATCAAAACTTCATGTATTTTACATTAGGTGATCAAATTAGGAACTCAAAATAATTTGAGTAACCAATTTAAGAACAATTTCTTTATTCGATAACAAACACCATTCGAATGTCACAAGAAAACGTAATGAATATTACACTTCAAAATTATTAAAAAGAACATATGAAAAACAGAATGTGATCTGAGGAGTCGAATATTGTAATATTTTTTAGGAAGGTAAAGATATTTTTCTTGTGAAAACAATCTTTTTCCCTTCATGATCAAATTAGAATTTTGTGCTGTAATCTCTCAAACAACTTTAAACCATATTAATTCTTATTATAAATAAAATCTCATTCTAAACGATTAAATGATCGATGTTCTTGTATAAATTTCAGTATTTTATCATAATATGAGAGTCCAAAAAAAGAATAATCTCTCATTGATCGATATATACATCCAATATTATCATAGATACTAGCTAGATCTGAATAACTCATTGCATTAGGATAATCTTTCAATAATTGATGCACAGTGACTGTCAAAATTTCCCAACTAATAGATCATTTTTATCTTATTTCGTGTACATGTCAAAAAATAGATGAGCTAAAATGATCTAACTTACATTAGATTATAACTCATCATCTCTAGTACACTGATGAACAGTTTCAGGTGAATTCTTTGATCTGTTCAATTTTTGTTGATGACATAATCTTAGTATGCCGTTTATCATTCTTCAAAAATTATCCAAGCACTATTTTTGTTAAAGTCGGTGAGTGCTTGTTCTAAATTGAAATTTTCTTTGTGATGTATAATTCAATTGAAAAAATTGCGCTCGACATAAGGAGTACTTATTATCGAAGCTTTCTTTTCTTTGAATAGAGGCGTAAAAACAATACTTGTTTAGCCTATACCGAAAATTTTCGACAAGAAGGCGATGAAGGACATTTTTGTCATATGCTGTTTAGCCAATCTATAATTTAATATAGCATTAGTAAGAGCACTACAAATTGCATGAGATATTCTATATTAATTCATAGTTAATTTTGGAAAACTGTTGATTATCTTCTATGTTTACATCAATTAAAGATGGATCTTCTTATAGTGTCTCATTTATGTATTGAAAACAGTATACAAAATTATTGTAACAGTGTAACTTTGTAGGAAATCTTTATTTGTAGAAAACTCTTATATTTGAAATCAAAACCGATTATATCACTTAAGTTCTATATCTTTGTTACATTATAAATAGTAGGAATAAGCAGGTTAGTATAGTCTCAACGATAAAACGAATATGTATGTTATCAAACAAAAATGTATTAAATAAAACTTAACATATTATACTATTCTAAATTTCATCCACTATC